ATAACTTAGAGACGCATCACTCAAATCAAGAAATATTTTACCAATCAACTATTTACTTTATGCAGAACCAGTACTGAATGTATTGTCAAAGGGTTCATTTGCACTTTAATCAACAATATCCTTGTCTTCTTATGGTTTGTAAGTTTGATCTCGGCCAAAAACACTCAAAACTTTGCACGCATCGACAGCAGTGCGCATGCTCTTCGTGCTGATACCTCTGATTCTTTCTCGACAGTTCCGCGAGCCTTCGACTGAATTCGAAATCCATTGGCGCCAAGTTTGAAACTGTGCTCCACCTCTTCGCACTTTGAAACTTCATTTGCGTCTCATTCATCAGCTCGTTTTCGCAATTTAACATTTTTTCAAAAGTAGTATCGAAATCTTCCCAACTTGACTGTGATTGGCTCAGCCTTTGGCGTTTTCTTTTCAAACCACTGTTGTCATGACTACCTCCGTTTCCACTGACTTTTCTCTTTCGGTAAGATGTCTTTGACTCTGAACGCCTTCTTTTTCTATTTTCGGCCTGTTTTTCTCGCGCAAGCGCAATGAGCCTGTTACTAAAGTCAAAAGTGAATTCTTGATTCTCTTCCATCTTTTCTTGGTCTTTCGTCTTCCTTTCTTGGGATTTTGGAGTCGATTCATTCATCGAGGATGCGTAGTTGAAGCAAATTTGTTTAAGTCTCAAAGATGCGGAATGGAGTTCAATAGAGTCCTTCAGTTCCTAACGTGATAAATGATAACGAACCTTAGTTTGCAAGTCCAAACCACAGGGACCCCAGGCCCGGTTTTGGATTTTTGCTTGTAGCTAAGAACAAGACTATCAAAGAAAGGTAGCTGAAAATAACTCAAATTTTCCGAACAGCTCAGAAAAAGAAGGGGGGAAAATCAAACAATCTCGTGAAAAATTCTTGTAATTCTAAACATTAAGGGAGGCAACTTTTATAATCTAATTTTTCCTCCTTGTGATAAAAAACTCCCTGATCGATAATTTCTTATCTTAATTGGCTATATATAAATGACGTCACTTTACCTTCGCTTTTATCTTCCTTTTAGTCACGGTATCGACTTCCTGTTGTGACATCATCTCTGACGTCTTTTCGGAACGAGAATGTGTGACATCTTCCGTGCATGGTAGAATTTTTCCTGTTGCGACAAAAAAAAAATTATTCTAAGTGTAAATAATAGTAGCTTTGTCTAGTACATGATTTAAGCATAGGAAAATATTTAGTCTAGCAAAGGTTTGTTTTCGAGTTCACAACAAAACTTGAGTTCAAATAGACTCTAGGTTTTGTTAGTACGTGATGAGAATTATTACTCCTCACGAGTTCTTGGTACACTTCAATTAAAAAATATAATTTCAGAAAATTAAATAAAACAAGTTATGGAGTTTGGACCTGAATATTACTCGTTAGATGTACGTTTTTAGTTCTTCTAAACTGATTTTGTAAGATGACTTTACCCATCCAATTAAGGGCTCGCCATGTTCAGTTCGTCTTCGTGCAATGAATCAAAACCAAAATGACGATGAACTTGAATATTACAACCAAGAAAAACATCTTTAAAAGGCCACATCTTTTCTTTCAAACCAATTTTGATTCAATTCCACTAAAGTTTTTCAGTACAAGTTTTACTACTAGGTTAAAAACTGACGTACCTTTTTCAGAACATTTTCTTTTGGGTCTCATTTTCTGTCTTTGTTCCTCGACATTCTCGTGTAGACGACCCATGGCTCAATTCCTTTGTACTATCGGCCTACGATTCTAAACAATTTTTGTTCTACGGCTCTGCCCTTATTGAGTCTAGCCAAACGCTAGTTTAGAAAATATGCCGTCAGTCGTAGCTATAAATAACAGTTTATGAGCTACCACCAAAATATGTGAGTGTAACGCGACAAATCACTTATGTCAACCTTGAGAAACGTGCTACACGTCATCAATGTCAAAGGTTAAATTCTCTAAACGTGTTCTTTTATGCGACCATAGTTGCTTTGTATTACTCAAAAGCAATGTAAAGGTCATGGTGAGGATACTTGTGTTTGTCTTGGGGTTAGGATCAGGATAGCTAGAAGCTGCTGGCGTGTTCGTTAACTTTGTAGACAATATTAACACAGCCTTTCTAGCCTCAGACTTCCTATGCTTTGACCTGTCACGTTCTAACTCTCAAACTCGAGCTCTCTATAGCTTTACTATACATTTTTGTTTAACCTCGTATCCGTTTATTTCACTTTCCATCCACAAGTTCACCTACGAAAAACATTTCGCGCAACCTCTCATTTCAGTGAAGAAATTTCAAGCAAACAAAAAAAGGTTGCGTGCAGGGGGTTGTTAGAAAATAATTAATATCGTGCAAAATAAATTCCTACAGCCCCCCCTCCGCCTCCCCTCCTTAATTATCTAGTGGTTCACCCCAATTTTTGTTAGAGGAACTTTCATTTAGCAACGGAAGCTAAACTTCTCCGTTTTCATCACATGAGCTGCTGAAAGCACTTCGGAATCACTTACAAGGAAGTCTCAAAATTCCTCAGATGGGTTGGTACAATTCCTGGGGGCCGGTCTGACCATATGGAGGTTTCGCCGTCTGTCCGTCGGGAATGTGGACACTAAAATAAGGAATTTCGTCTGCTGTTGAAAATGAGTGATAACCTGGTTTAAAAGCGAAATGTTAAGGAGTCAACACCCACGATGTTGGAAGGAAGGATTGAATCGTTTCTCGTGGAGAGATATTTTTGGAATGAGATTGAAAGAAGAAATTGAAACTGAAGTGAGGAAGAAGACAGAAAAGAATGACGCTCGAAGGAAAGAGAACAATACAAAGCCGCTCGTGCAAATGACCAGGTAATGGAACGAACTTTTTATCAGTTTTGCTTTTGTTGTCGTCGTCGTTTTTGTTGTTGTTATTATTATTATTGTTGTAGTTGTTTTCTTCTTCTTCTTCTTCTTCTTGCTTCTTGCTTCTTGCTTCTTCTTCTTCTCCTTCTTCTTTTCCTTCTTTTTCTCCTTCTTCTTCTCCTCTTCCTCCTCCTCTTTTTCTTGTTCAGCTCTTCTTCTTCTTCTCCTTCTCCTTCAGCTCATTCTCTTTCTGCTTCTCGGTCCCTATTGGACAGACTTTCACTTGCCTCTCCTCCTTCTAGACCCTCGTTTTCTTTTTCTCCCTCCCTTCTTTCAGTTTTTTGTTTGTTTTGTGAGTCGGTCCCCAAAGTGAGGATGAACGACCAAGTAGAGGATGTAACCAAGTTCATTGCAATTACAATCCTTCATCCTTAGTAATCAAATTAGACAAAATAATGGAAAATTCCAGAACAAATTTTAGAACAAAATTCCTCTATAACTGTGTATCTTGTGACCTCATTATCTGATAAGAGATCGATGGAAGGTATAGGTTTCTTGATCTGACATATAGGTCAACATGTGACAATCGCATAGGCATACATGACAAGAAACAGCTTAGCTTGGCTCTGTTCAGCCTGTGGATTCAAGTTACATGCAAAGAACTCTTACAAAACCCTTGCTATTTTTCGCACGGATGGTAGGTTTTCGTCGCATAAATTCGCAATTTCAGCAGAACCGTTCCACTGAACAACTTAAAATAGAATCGTAAGGATTTTGCTTCTAAGAAATACAAAGCGAAGGTGCTGAAAGCTCTTAAAATAATAAGAATTTAAAGGTAAGAGCATGGTGATTCAACTTTCTTTATAAAAAATATTATTTGCCATATTATTACAGAATGTTTCACGTTTCTCAGTTAGTTTCGAGGATGATTAACTTAACTCTGAGTCCAATCACCATATAAATTATTCGAAAAGTAAACTACCAAAAAATTTTGAAGTTTTAATTGATATTTTCGAAACTCAAAATAGCTTTAGGACCAATGTACAAGCCTTTATTGACAAACTTATTGACTAAACAAACGGTAATTCTGACCGTAACTTACGGGCCCACTCGTTACCTTTAGGACCTTCAGGTCGATCAACTACTGCACGAAGACATTCGTTCTGCTCTATCTTCGCCGGTGTATCCGCAGTTATGTTATTCTCAGTGTCCATACATTTGTACTATTCATAAGAGACGGAATCTATTAAAATTTCCCAAGCATTTAGACCGGTTCCAGCAATATTTCCCAGAGCCGTTTAACTCGGATGATAAAACTATGAATTTCCGTTCTTATGCAGAGAGTAAGATCCTATTGTTTTGTCCTCTTGATAGGGCTATGTTGGTAATATCTTGCAAGCGGTCTATCAATAGGAAATGTAATGATAAAAGGGTAAATTTTACACCGTGAAAAGATTTAAAAATTTACTAACGCTTCGGACGCTAGTCCTTCGTCGGAGTAAAAGAGGAAGTGTATGTAAGTTATAGAATTTTGAATAAGACTGCAAATATAAAAGCAATTGCAATCAGTTAATGATCAATTTGCACGCTAAGGAGATTATGACTGCTGCCGGGGATTGCTGACAGCTGCCCATATCATTTGACCTTATTTAAGCCAGAGGAGAGAGGAGAGAGGAGAGAGGAGAGAGGAGAGAGGAGAG